TGCACAATTCTACAGATGAAGATCTCACAGTTTCCAACTGCTGGGTTTTGCCAAGTTCTTGCCACTGGGCTACAAGAAGTCCCACTGAACCATCGTGTGATCACTTAGGCAGAGATTGGTACATTATGTTTGATCTATACAAAACAAGATTTAACATTTTATTCAAATAGTTCATTTTGTAGTTTTGTGTTCATGGCTGACTTATTAGATTCTTCTCTAATAGAATTCATACCAATGGGGTAAGTGTTGGGAACTACTCTAACTGATCATTACTACTGTGTGTCGTGGATTCAATCCTTATTAGATGCTATATATATGTCAGATTAAATTAAATTTAGTAAATATTGATTTGATTCTTTTCTAATTGCTGATAGAAAATGATCACTGGTCAATTTTTCTCACTAAATAGACTATTAAAATATGTTGCACTCAATTTGATAGATTTTAATTATACTGCCTATTTTGAAATTTTAATTTGTTTTTGTCAGTTTAAAAATAATTGGTTCTTTTTAATATTTCTATATATTATTAAAAATCTAAATGTTGAGTTGATTTGGAATTGATGATAAGATAATTGGATCATATTAAGAATATTTCTTGATTATATCTGAATTTACAAAATGATTTATGCAAAATGAGTAAAATGAATTTCAATTCCTGTTTTAAGCTCAATGCCACAAGCATTTTTCCATGGTTATTTCTACTCACAGACATCCTTCAAGTCTTTTGGGCAATCAGTTTGGTAGGTTGAAATGAATAATACAAAGCAAGTTCTTTTCTACCTTTTCTGCATTTTTAAATGGTGCTTTTAAGATTCTCCTTGTCAAACAATATCTCTTCAAATTATCTTCTGCACAAATATTTTGCAATTACCTTTTTGCTGTGTAGTTGTAGTTGTCTTCCTAAATCTTTGTATATGACAATATCATGCAATCTATTGCCTTTGTAGTTGTAATGTTTCCTCTTTTGCAGAAAGGTTTTATTCTCAAATGCTGCTGTGTTGGATATAGGCATAAAAACATTGTTGTTTTCTAAGTCACTAACTCTGTACATTTATTTCATATTTGGTTTAGAAAGCAATGTTATGATCCATAAGTTATTTGCACTTACTTACCACCAGAATCCCACTATTGTTTATTTAATACATTCTCCATTATAAAAAAGGTCAAACTATAATTAATTTTCTCTGGATACTGATTAGACATGCAAATATTAATTTCATCCTTTTTTCTATTATATAAATTGAAAATTTAATTTAATATATCTTTGCTTTTTAATTATTTACATTGCTATGAATCAAAATGAAAAATAATTTACAGTTTTAAAATTATAATTATTAAAAATTTTATATCCATTTATAAATTTTTTTTCTGTCAAATATGAAGACTTTTGTATCAAGTAATGTTTTGAACTTGTGTATTTTCTTTAGTTGTTTATTTGTTAAAAATTGTTTTCTTTTAAAATGAGAAAAATTTCATATATTCTGAAAAAAATGACCTCAGAAATAACTTTCAATCCTCAAAGATAAAAATATTTATAAATGAAAATAATTTTATTCTTTTTGTAAAAACAAATAACAAGACTTCCACTAACATTAAATTAAAGAAAGTTTCTTTTTTTTTTTTGTCCTGGGATCATTTTTGTTGACCTTTTTTTTTTTTCATTAATGCAAAGCGTTTACAAGAAAACAATTCTGTTTAAAATTTGGAATTGCCTGTATTACACATGTTTTTGTAGGTGGCTTTGCTGGGTATTTGCCACAACTTCTGTTAGGTTGACTCCAATATTCTGATTTGCTGTAGTTTGAGTTAGAGGAAATATGGTCTAATTTGATGATACAGCACTTTTGTTAATCTTAAAAAAAATGTGCAATATATTGATAAAAAGCTCAAAGAATTGCAATAAACTTATATTTGTTGTGTAACCAAAAAAAGTTAACTTACTTAAAAATAAAAGCGTTTTTTTTATTTTCAATATTAACTCTATTTAATGTTTTATTGCATTATCTTCTGTTGTCATTTAGACAACTTTATAATTATATCCACCTAGAAGTTTCAACAAAGAACTGTTCAAGATATCTTTTGGCATCTTCTAAGTCCTGAAAAAATAGAAATAAATGGTAATTCAGAAGGTGCAACATTTGGTGAATACAGCAGAAAACAGTAAAAACTTAGCAGTCAAACTATCACAATTTTTACGTGATCACTAAAGGAACATGTACGCAAAGGCTATTTTGATGGAATATTACACTCTTTCTCTTATTGCTGCCTATGAAATGGTTTAATTGGGAGCACTATTTGTTCAAATCAATCATTTGGTTGTTTGGAAGGATCTTGTAGGTGATGAAACCCTGTGGATGAAAACCAATCTTTCATACAGTTAAAGGGAGTTCACATGATCTTCAAAATTGCACTAATCTTTTCTTTTTTTTTTTTTTAATTTTATTTGAATCACATTTTTACTTTTACTAATATAAAAAAGCAATCATATTTGTTTTCTTCCACCTTCAATGTTAGTGTGACCTTAAGCCAACCAGACCAAGATATAGACTTGGTCACATCACTGAATACCATCTTATGACTTCACTAACTGCAATCTGGTTAATAGCATAAGGCAGAATTGTCCCTTGAGCCCTGTCTGGAGAGATCCTCTCAATGCTGAAGTTGAGTCTGGTAGATCACAAGGGGTTAAGTATGTTGTGTATTAATTTGCTGCTAAAAGTAACAAAATTGCACTGTGGTCAATTTTAATAGATCATCTACAAATGTTGTCTCAGGTTTCCTCAGATGTCAAAATCAAGGAAGAAATGTTGCAACGCCAGATTTGATGATAAAAGAAAATCTAAAGTATTATTTTCCTTCAGCTAGATGTTACAGTATCAAACAAAATCATGCTTGGAGAAATTTCAAACAAAAAAATATTAACATTGAGATTCTTTGGTATGAGTTTCTTTTCGGATCCACGAGAAAAAAAAATAAAGTGTTGTCAAACTTCCCAAATTATTGTAAGTTCATTCACAAGAGAAACCGCCTAGTATTAGCAATCAGCAGCAGAAATCGTCTGGTTTGTTGGGTAGCTGTGGTTCTGTCATTTCCACTTCTCTCCTGATAACTCTCTCTCAAACTAACTCTCCAGCTAACTCTGCGCAACTGCTATTAGCTGTTTATATAAAAATTAACATTTTTTTCTGGAGAAGGGCACAGCGCATTGGGGCAATTCACACCTATTGGAAAATATTTTCACAATATTAGGTTCTTCATCCTTCCCCTTAACCGATATCTCTAGAGGAGCATATTTGTTACCCAAAGATTTAGATAACCAAATAAACTCTAATAACTAATTGCACATATACACATTCCATACACATGTTAACATTATATTTTCTTTTGTTCAAATTAATAAATTGAGTTTTGAATCTCGAAGGAAACTTAAATTAAATCAAAATTATAATTTTTTTTTTTTTGCTTTTATCTACACTCCATACTGGTACATTAGAATCAATAAATTAAAAAAAAAAAGAATATACCCACTGTCACAATACAATTAAAAATTATGTTTTTACATTAAGATAATTAAAACTGAATGCCACTAATGATAAATAAACATTTTCTTTATTTTTAATTTTTTTTAGAATTTAATGTAAATTTTATTAACTAATAAAACTTCTATCCTTGATCTATGCAACATGCATTTGTTGTATTTAATGCAAATAAAATGTTTTGAGAAATACAAAAAAAACTGAAATGGTTATAACTCAGATATGAAATTGCTAAAAGCATAAAAATGATATATTGGAAAAATATTTTGTAAATAGTTATATCAAATATCTGGCATTATGGGAGGTAAATGCATTTGTAAGTAGGAAAAGAAAAGAGATTGCTTAAGAATGAAGAGTCCTGTAAACACAGAAAAACAAATATGTAGACACTGACGGAATTTGCATGTGACAAATTTGAAAGTTACTGTGTGTATAGAATTGTACAGGCAATTTTGATAACCAGTATGAATTCAATTCAGAATCATATTTTGTCCAAGATCATTTGGTAGAAAATTTACTATCAAAATTAAATAGAATATTCTATTACTTTTGCTGGTTTAAAAGTTATATAGAAGTTTTAACTCTGACTATAAATTTTTAATGTAACAATTGATTTTTGTCATACATATATACAAATGTTTTCCACTTACATATTAATTAGCAAAATCTTATACTAATGAACTTTCATCTCCTTCAATGTTATACTTTTCATCAAATGTTTTTTTCTTACTTTCTACAGATTAAAATTTTAATGCTTTCAAACTAATTTATCTTGTTTATTGTTATAACAAATTTCAATAAAAGGACTAGATTATTTACATTATTCGAACTATTGTCCTCATCTTTGTCGCCATATTTATCACAACGTTTCGGTTGTTGTCACTGGATCTAACCAACAGGACCCAAAGAGTGTGATTTTAATACCTGGTTAAGGCAGTGGAGAACTTTCAGAGGGAAATTAGCAGGAGATAACTGATAACTGACATCCATCAAACATGGCACGTGGAACTAGAAGTCTACCCCAGTGAGCAAAATAAAGGTTCAGTTCAAAATTCCAACCACCTGAAGAAGGCGGAGCATTACAGCGGCCGAAACGTTGTGATAAATATGGCGACAAAGATGAGGACAATAGTCCGAATAATGTAAATAATGTACATAATACCTCATCTCAGAAATATAGACAGACCCAAAAGGACTAGAATCATTCAGTTCTAAAAATGAAAATGTGGCAATGACTGAGTAACTTGAATATTGTATTGATTAAACATTATTATTGTATGTAAAATTAATAATACAACACATGATAGTTGTGGGTGTTAGTAAGATAATTTCAGATGGTCAGTAACTTATTTAAATATTTTTTGTATATTCACAAAAATTACTATTGTGAACATCATATGGATGTTGCAGTTGATTGAGAAAGCAGTTTCATATTTTAGATACTTTTCCTAATTTCTTAAATGTTATTCCCCAATGAACTAAAACTTAATGAAAACAATCAAGAAAACCTTCTCCTTTGCTGTTATAATGTTTATTATCTTTAAAGATTAAAAAATTTTCTTTCTAATTTCAGTGATGATAATCATGGTCAGAAAGTGTCACTACTCAAAACCACTAACTCAACATTCCCTCTTCAGCTCAGTCCCAGAGAAGTTTTCTCCCTTATCTTCACTATTCAAGATAAAGAACTTGATGGTCCAAACACTGTAAGAATTTTTTTTTATTATTATTTTGTCTAATACTCAGAGAAAAGTACTCTCATCATATATCAATTTTTAAAATAATGAAAATCTTCTCTATTTTTAATTTGATAATTTCCTTTCATCATTTACATAGTTTGTGTGTTAATCCTAGTTAATAATTCATATATTTTATTTAGACATTTTCTCTCGCCGTCCATATCAGCTGGTGCACTCAGAATTCCAAACAGATGGATGAACCTAAGACTATAACTACATACAGGTGACAATCTGTTCTTCCTCCTCCTCTTTTACAGTACAGTTTTTGATTGAAGTGAAATTGTTTTTTTTATTGTTTTTTTTTATCATTTTTAACTTCATTTAATATCTTGAGGAATATTTTTTTAAGCCATATATTGTAATATTATTTGAGTTTTTTAGATGAAGTATTAATATTAATCATTATTAATTTTTCACTAGTATTTTTTTTTTCATTTTATTTCTGTTGTTTTATTTCTTATTGCAACTCTTTAGACTGCAGCTGTCAATAAGCAATAGGGATCAGAAATAAAGGTTTATTTTTTTATTTCTAATTCATATTGCTTGTTATCATAAAGAGGGAATGAGGGTTGTAATGAAAAACAACAGAAATGAGTTGAAAGACATGCAAACTAGATATTTGTTTTCTTTTCTGATTTTTCAGTCTTCCTTCTTTGAAAGTTCATCATCCTCCATTTCTGGTATCTGTTGCTTGTCATGATGACATCAGTGTAGGGAAAAGGTAGAACACTCTTGAAGTATTTTTAATAAATCCTACATGGAAAATCTTTTTATGATTTAAAAAAAAAATCTGCTATCTTTTTGTTCCCAGTTATTTATTGAGGCTGTTACTTTATGATCAAATTTAACCAATGAAATTAATATTAAATCTTTTTGAAGAGAAAATTTAAATTGAAAAATCTTGCAAGTGTTAGAAATTATTACATCATTGCTTTAAATTGATTTTTTTTCTTCAATATATTTTTACAAAGTAATTAATCAAGTTTATTTCTATACTTTTAGTTTCAATGTCACATACACCATTTCCAATAAACTGCAAGATTTTCTCGCCCTTCGTTTATATTGGAGTCCGTCTGCAACTCCAGCTATAATGGAAATGAAAGAAGGTAAGTGAATATTTCTTCTAATGAAGGTAAATCTTAGAATTCTTTGAAAGCAAATATGATTTTATAGACTAAAAGGAAAAATAGATGTATATAAACGGTCTCAAGGTGCTAAATATTGTATGGGGTTTTATCAGTGAAATCTGCTTGATCAGTAATCTCCTATTGTGTAGTATTAGAAAAACCATATATCCACAGTTTGTTCTTCTGGCTAATAACAACCCTTATTTTATTTAGATATGGAATGAAACAAGACTAATTTGCTAGTTCCATCCACACAAGTGCTTCACTATTGTAGACTTGTACCATACTAAGCTAATAAGAATCAAATAAAGCAATCAATTGTTCACAAAATAATTCTGTTTATTTGTTATATTATTTTATTAAAAATTAACAATCAGTATTTTTTAAAGATTTTAAGCAATTATTATCAGAATCTGATACCACCATCCATTTTTTTTTAATTTAAAATAATGGCTTAAATATTTACATTTCTGATTGATCTAAATATTTTTACTTTCAGGTTGTATAAGGATTAAGAAACCAAAAGAAATAACAACCAATTCTATTATTTGTCAAGATCCTGATGTTCTTCTGGGGTAAGTTATTATCTTTTGGATCCTGATGTTCTTCTGGGGTAAGTTATTATCTTTTGGGTCCTGATGTTCTTCTGGGGTAAGTTATTATCTTTTGGATCCTGATGTTCTTCTGGGGTAAGTTATTATCTTTTGGATCCTGATGTTCTTCTGGGGTAAGTTATTATCTTTTGGGTCCTGATGTTCTTCTGGGGTAAGTTATTATCTTTTGGGTCCTGATGTTCTTCTGGGGTAAGTTATTATCTTTTGGATCCTGATGTTCTTCTGGGGTAAGTTATTATCTTTTGGGTCCTGATGTTCTTCTGGGCTAAGTTATTATCTTTTGGATCCTGATGTTCTTCTGGGGTAAGTTATTATCTTTTGGATCCTGATGTTCTTCTGGGGTAAGTTATTATCTTTTGTATTTTGTGTTTCGTTATTTCAATACAATTCATTTGTTGTTTAAAAAATCTTAATGTCTTTGCTGAATGAATAATCTGTTAAAAAGATTAGTATTCATTCTTCTACATAGCCGTGAAGTGAACCTAGACAGAATGGGGGTGGTCAGTGGTAGTTCACATGTAGCTTTCAATTACTGCCAAGTTGAAAGCTCCAATAAATAAATGTCTTAGTGAATTTGTGAGGTTATCTCAAGCAGTTGACAACTGTTTTAGCACATTTCTTCCCATTCCTTTAGATTTAGATGACCGCTGATTTGTTATTGCAGAAAGGTCAGGTTTAAAATTATTGAAGTGTTATTCAAATAAAGCAATTGAGAGATATAGGCTTATCAGATTTATAGAAGAAAAAAAGAAAATATACCAAAAAAATAGAAACAATAAAAATGAAGACAGTAGTTTAACAAAAAATGGGTGTAATAAGTGTCAATTTTATATATGAAGAATATTGTGAAAATTAATCTACCTTAGTTTTCTTTTTTTTTTCTTTTTTAGTTAAGATTTTCAGATGGTGTAATAGCAGCTCAGAAGGAGAAATTAGAGCTGAATTTGAATTCCCTTTGGAGTTCATTACATTCACTTACATGCAAATATGCTTGGGAAAGGTATGGATTCAACTCCTCCCCACAGCTATTGGTTAAATAGTAGGAGTTGTATCTAGGAGAATCTTTGTTATTCTCAAAAAAATTGTTAAATAACCCACAAGGGTTAATAAGCAAAAAAAAAAAAAAAATCAATCCTTTTTAGTTAAGATTAATGTGCTTTTTCTGTTAAAAAGTATTTGTAATTTTTTATTTGCTCTTATGACATATAAACATGTGCACAAAACTGTTAAATGACTAAAGAATAATGAATTCTCATTATTTTCATCAAAAATATATAACCAATAAATGAACCTTTAACCCCAACTGAATTATTCCTAATATGCTCATCCTCACAACCCATAGCATTTCAACACTCTTCTGTCAAGGAATGCATATACAGAAAGTCTTCTTTTAGAATTAATACTACTATTTTGATTAGAAACATGCTGGTGTTGTCATTTTTTCTTTTTTCTTTTTTTTCTTGTAGGAGTTGTCCTAAAGGTACAACATTGACAGCTGCTGTAAGATTCCAGGTCCTCCAACCAGGGTTATTTGAAGTAAGTTTATTATTCTGCCTTTTTGCTGGGAATGTTAGATGTTCTTGTTTAATTTCATTAACCAATATACTTAGGCCTTTACAAGTGGTCATTTGTTCCTAAAAAAAGATTTATATGCTTTATACAAACAATTTTCTATAAGCACTTTGAATAAATTTGTTTATTTGAATAAAGAGTCAAATCAAGATTATATTGTAAAATTCTTGTTTCTCTAATTCTTTTTTGAATGTTGTATTTTAAGTAAGCTTTTTGTACTTGATGCTTAATGCACTTTGTTAAATATATACCTTTTATTTCATCAATTCAAATTTTCAATTTTTGTTATTGGAGCCTCTCCAAAGACTTGTCAGCACAATTAATTGTTTATTATATTTTGAAAATCTGTCTATTGTGGCCAACTCCTTTTTGCTTTTTGTATGTTACTGAATTGATTTGTCATTGCAAACCACAATGACATCTCACTGAAAGGATAAGTTTCTATTCTTACCACTTGAATAAATGTATCGCCTTATTTATTTGCAAAGTAAGAATACAGATTTAGGAAAATTACTCTTGCCTTTTATATAAATGAGGAGGTACACTTATTCAAATTTAAAAAATTAATGACTCCCTGCATTTTACTTGACTTGCCCCACTACCATTTATTTGAGAGGTAAGAGTAAATCCTCTATATTTCTGATAAGGAAACATTGATTAATGAGCAGCACCTACTCAGCATTGTGTATTTAGTCACAGATGTCTTTGTTCCTATTTTAACAATTGATACCTTACTACCTTTGTCTTTCCATATACATTCCAAATTTGTAATATATTCAGAGTTTGCCAGGTAATTGAGAACAAATTATAAAGGAAAACAGATATTCAATAGAAAAAAAATCAATATATTTTTTCAAAATATTTTTATATATGGTCAATTTAGGAAAATCATTTTTAACATCAAAGATATCTTCAATGCAATTTCAGAAGTGACTGTGTCTAGGGAGCAGGTGGTTCTCAATCATGTTAGCCATCATGTCTACACAGGTGGCTTTGATATGTTATTGGTATTGTGAGGCTGCAACTTGTTTTATTGCATCAAGCAAGAGAACAAATTGTGGCCTCACAATACCAGTGCATCACCCACTGCCACTAGTGTTAAAAAGGCCACTTATCAGGGGTGAAAGGATCATGATTCTCCAACCAGCAACTCCTTAATTACATGAGCCATGTTGGTAGAAACTGTCCTACTGGAGCACATACAAGCTCTCTTGGGTCATCCTTTTGATCAAAGGCTTGACTATCATGTCAAAGACCTTGGTGTAAGCAGTGGCATTGGCTCCTATTAGCTTGCTGGTGTCTTTATGATATCTGTCAGTTTAGAATGTTTTCTTCTTTTGACAAAGGATGATACCTTTCAGTCAGAGGCTTCCAGCTCATTGCTGATTTTGAGCACAAAGTATTTGGCTACTTTAGAATTGATGTGGTTTGTGGCTAGTGTCATGAGCACAGCATGCATGTTTACTGTTTCAGATTAGAAGCTCCCATCTTAATACTCAGTGCATCTGAAAAAGAAATGAGAAACACATACCACATAACATTCATCATCATCATCATCATCATCATCCTTTGACCTCACTATGGTTGGTCAGAACTCCATTGACAATCCCTTTCTACACTGTTTGGTCCTGTATTGCTGTCCCCAGGTCCCCAATGTCCAACCCTGAGTCACAAGCTATGGTGTCTGGGAAAGTCAATTTTTATGAGAAGACACTTCCAGAAGGATGCCATAGGAGTAGGGATGAGACTATATCCCTATCTGCACAGTGGCTGGCAAACTGTAATCATTTTTGTTTAGCTTAAGAGAGATTGGTCTCAGTTCATAAATTGTGTTAAACATTGCTTGGGATCTCCACTGATGTTCTGGATTTTTCTAAGTAGATTTGTATATGTTCCATCCATTCAAGATGAACAGATAATGTCCAAGTTTCTGATCCATACAGTAGTACTGCTTCAATGAATGTTTGAAAGGTTTGGATTTTTAAGGAGGATGGAAGGTTTGAGTGCCAACTCTTGTGAAGTTTGTTACACACATCCCATGCAAGAGCTTGTGGGTGTAGAAGTCTCATTGGGAATCTATTATGTGAGATCTAAGATATTTTAAGTCTTCAACTATTTTGATGGATATATTATTGAATGATTTGAACTCAGATAGTTCCGGGGAGGTTGTGATATATTCTGTCTTACTCACATTGCAATAGAGACCTACCTACCTGGTTCACTGCTAGATCGAGTGATTGCAGAAAGGATTCTGCATCCCTGATAAATTGAGAAATTAATGTAAGATCATTGGCAAAGTCAAGTTCAGCCAGGTATTGTGGAGGGTACCGACTACTCAGGAGAGGTTTTAAAAAAAAACGACATAACATTGTTTTCCATTTATAAACAGTTGTCTGTGTGTTCTCAAATAGTAAATGCTCCGTATATTTTATTGAAAAATGTTATCTTTTGCTTCTTTTGTTTATCTAGGTTGGTCAACATATGAAATTAAACCTTCGATATGCTCTACCGTCATCAACAGACTCTCAGCTCAATGATGTGAGCACACCTACTGATTCAATTTCCACTCTGTCTCCTGATGAACAATTGATGGCATCTGAAGAACTGTGGCGGGAACGTAGTGGCAGCACTTCATCCGTCCGTAGCACTGGCCTCCTTTCTTGTGATGAGCGACGAAGATCTTTTGCCACAAAATCCTACTCTTTTGGAGATCTGGGACCCGCTTCCTCAACTGACTCTGATACTGGACGGCAGAAAAAGTAAAAGCCTCTTTCTTTGACTTTTCTTTAATCCATCTTTTATTCAATAAAGTTTACATATTGATCTTTTAATTCAGAAAACCCAATCAATTTGCTCACAACTCAGAACCCAGTAGACAAAAGGAAAGGAAAAGAAGATAATGAGTGTAGAGTTACTCCCCACCCCCAACTACTTCTTTTTTTCCTAATTCTTATTGATTGGATATCATATAATTTGAACTGTTTGTCTCTCACCTTCTGTATTGACAAAAATTATCTCCCATAAGAAATGCTTCACATTCTTGTTTTGCTTCTGTTCTGGAAAATGGATAATTGGTTTAACTTTAGGAAGAACACCTTGGATTTGTGGTAAGCATTTGATTCCATCTACACAATGCAATCAATATATTGATAGATAAATAAAAATCAGTATGTTGTTCAGGTAAATTATTTCCATAACAAAAATTTTTTTTTCTCATATTTTTGTATTTGCTTGCACATTTCCATATAAAATAATCTGTTTCCATTCTATTTTGTTACAATTTCTTGAAATGGAATTTTTGTTGTTGATGTTTTTAAATGAAGGATGTTGATGTATTGGAACTATTGTTCTCATCTTTGTTGTAGATATTATAGGTACAACATTTCAGCTATATATATCTTCATCTTCAGGAGTCCGTTTTAGGGTTTTTATAGGAGATACCTTGAGTTGATTCTTGTGTTATTTTATCCTTATGATACCAGTAATTGCTCATTTCTGTTGAATCAAAATATATGGATTTCACTACTTAATCTAGGGATTGAACTACTGGCCACTAGTTAACTGCAACAAAAATAGCAAGTATTAACTTCTATCTCCAATAAAAAAAAAACAAAGATGGACACCTGAAGATGGCTGAAACTTGAACCTGTAATAAGATCTATAAGAAAGTTAAAACCAACAATTCAAATAAATTGCATAGAAATATTTCAAACACATTTATTAAATGTGGTTGTGCTTTTTTTTTCCCAACTTAGCTATAAATATAACTTTTTATATCTATTGAGTGAGAAAAATAGATTGTGTGATTCCAAATAGAGAAAGCTTGTCTTGAAAATAAGCATTCAAAATCCAAACTTTTACCAGGGACACTTACCAGTGGGAAATATAAGTACATAATCATTTTAGTTTACAAGTTAGGCATAATCTTTTTATTTTTAATTTCAGGACACAAATTTTAAAACTTTATATCTGTATTTCAGATTCAAGAATATTGAACGATCACCTAGAGTTCCTCCTCCAAGGCCTCCTCCACCCAAAAGGTTACCAAGGGCTGAGCAAGCATTGAACAATCCTCGAAACTTTTTGAAGAAAAGCCACCAAATCTACATTCCACAGTTGGTATGAAGGAACATGTCTCCTCTTTGTTGGCAACAGATTCTCTCTCTCTCTCTCTCTCTCTCTTCTTTTTTTTTTTTTTTTAAGTTAACCCTCATTTCTGTCACATCCTTTTAAACCTTAGAGAACTGCTGAGGCCAGTGTCATTTGAGTTTATTTGCAATAATATAATGAAAGCTAGAAATGGCAATCGTGTTTGTTACTGAATATTCTAGCATTTGTTTAGAAATCGACTAAAAAAAAAACAAAAGAGGGAAAACTGGGTAACTGAACAATAAGCTTTTGCTTTTGATTTTCTTTCTTTATAATTATTCTATAAAATGCTTTTAAGTGAAAATTTCTTTTTACTTATTTCTGCCTATCATTAACATTGTATAAAGATTCAAACAATACACACATTTTACAGTATGAGTAAATTCTATATGACTGATTTAAATCGGTTTCAGTTAATCAATATTTTTATATTTTCATCTTTTTATACTTTTTAGTGTCTAAAATTGTGAACATTTTTTTTAAAATCATGGCATTAAAACTTAAGCAAAAAATATGATATTGTAAAATTCTAGAAGAGATTCTGTCTTAATCAGAGAAGACTATTTTAAAATGTCAAATGTTTACAAAAATATATTAAGATGCATATTTGAAAATTCTGTATAAACAGTAATAAAATGAAAAACTGACAAATTTTTGGCTTAAAATTCTAAGGGAAAAAAGTGAATGGTAAATGATTGCATTTTTATATAACTAATTTTCCTGTTTAACCCTTTTCGGTTAGCATGTGCTCAAGTGTAATTCTGCTTACAAATTTGGAGATAAAAAGTAACAAGCAGTAAATGTTTTTTTACAAAAATATTAGACAGTAATAAATTAATATATTTTATGATATTTTAGAAATTTAGTTTCTTTCTAAAGTTGATATTAATTTCACTTAGCAAATGTTTCATCATTATTAAATTTTGACGTAACAAAATTTACTGTACACTCTTAATTCAGTTGGTTAGATTTTTAATCAAATGACTATTTTATTAATATTTGTAGCCTCTTTATTATACTGATTCCTCAGACATGCCGACTCTATCAATTGGCTTCAGATCCTGGAAACAAAATCTATGATACTGAAATATTCTTGATTATAGGTTTTTCCAAGATAATTGCAAACAAGTGTGTGGAAAAGAATTGAAATGTTAGGAAGTACATAGTTTATAGATGAAATAAACTCTTTAATTATACACTATGATTTGGTATTATAAACCTGTTGAATTTTAAGAACTTTAGAATAAGTTTAAATCTTTTTATTAACCATTCATTCCAGCATTATTTGTTTTTGTCATTCTTAGGGCAAGTTTCTTTATAATGTAAGTCTGTATTGATTTGTTACAAAAACTTTAAAGAAAAACATCTTTTGTTCACTGTAGATATTAAACAGCCCAAAGTTTAATATTTTAAAAGACCATTTTTCAATTGCTTTCTTAAACAATATTATAAATCCATTTGAGAAAAAGATTTTTCAGGCAACTGTTTCTTTCATTTCCACAGAAGTTGGACTTTTTTTTTCTTTTTTTTTTTAAATTTGAAAATGAAATGGCAAAATACCTTTTAATCTAAAAAGAATGTATAAAATGAATATCTTTACCAAATGCAATTATTTCCAAAACGTCAGAATTGAAACACTTGTTATAATGTTTTATTGATATCTTTTTGCTGCTGAGAGAAAAAGATTTCCTTGCTTGATTTTCTGAAATTCAAAATCTTTCTCTGGAATTTTGGGACTGTTCCGTCACCCTTATTTGGTGCCAAAGAATGAAAGTTTCTTATGAAAAATTTTAATTCTGATTTTAATATTTCCCAGTTTATTTTTCTAACTTTTATAGAAGTCAAAATGACTCCCTTTTTATCTGCTGTTCTTATTGCATTTACGTTATTTGTAATAATTATTTCTCTTGTATATTCTATTTTTCAGATAAGCTAATATTCTCGTTTAGTTTTCTTCGAGTTATAATTAATGTAAATTTTGAAAGAATTTGTTTTGCCAATATTATTTGACCAATGATTGATGAAATCCATCCTTTTAGACACTGGTATACGTGTTATACTTTTCTGAAAAAATATTCTTTTAATAACAAGTATATGACCTCCTACAAAGCTTAACATTCACTTTGAAATCAGCAAAAGTCATGTGGTGGTTGTTTACATTCCTTCATTTAACCAAGGCTAATTTTTTTTGGTTAAAGGCATGATCTTGACAAAACTGCTATGTTTTATATTTTTACATGAGGATATAGTTATATATTTAATATAACTATATTTTTGTAATTCTGATAAATTATTACTTATAGATATACTCCTGTTCTAAGCTTTCTTCTAAATATCCCAATTTGTTAATTTCTCTGTTCATTTCCTCAACTCTAGAACAATTTTGTAAATTTTGTTTTTCTTTGTCTATAAGAATAAAAATCTTTGAAGATTTGTTTACCTACTAAAGTCTCAGACCAAATTTGTCTTACCACTCTGTATGGTTGAGATTTTTAGCCTTAAAAATAATGCAATGCAATTGATGTGTTCTTTTTTTTTCTTTTTTTTTCCCCCCCATGAAAGTCAAATATTCAAGTCCAATGTTTCACTCCCTAAATATTTTCTAATCTGCATTATATCACTAGACTGAATGGAAGGGTCCAAATTACTGAGGCTTGTTACTAGAAATCTACTATGGCCCTGACACATAGTGATTAGCCTTTGTTTGATAAATTGTACATTGTTGTATTCTTATTCTTTCTTATCTCTCTTCATGCTTCTATGGAACATGACTCTTCAAAGTTACAAACTTTTTATGGTAGTCTTACATGTACCCACCATAAAAAAAGTTATTTCTTCTGAAATGTAAATTCTTACAATGTTGACAGGGTTAATGGCTATAATTAAAGCAAATAAGTTACTTTTTAAGGAAGAACATTTTAGTAAAGTTCCATAACTAGATTTAGCCAATTTTTAATTTGAATAAATAAAAATTGTACAATGATCATATAAATAAAATCAAAATATATGCAGAATATTTTTAAGTAATGATGAAACTCATCATATTTGTATTGTTTTAAAATTGTAGAAATTGAATCTGGAGGACTTAAACAGTTATTTTGTCAAGATAGCTTAAAAGATTGAATTGAATTGTAGTTAATATTAAAGTGCCCTTCTGAAATAAACAAAAAACACTGCACATCACTTCTACCTGTGATAGATGTAAGTGATGTGAAATTATTTAATGAAACAAAATATAAAAAGTTAATGTTTGATATGACAAGAGTCTTTCCAGTATTTATTTTCTCATGTTTTACTAATCAGGAATTATACAATGATTAGATTACACTGCATTGCTCATTATCCACTATTTTCTTAAATATATGCCATTTATTATAGACAACTTTATATTTTTGTATGAAATGACTACAGACATTTTTAGCTGGAGAGCTTTTTCCATGTTTTTCTTACAAATATGATTCCAAATTGCCTCTCTTGCTACTAAAACTTGATATTTTACTAATGTTGATTGATTCAGATTTCTTCCATGTACCATGAGTTTATAGATTCATTTATTCCTTCATGATAAAATGCTTGAAGAACTGAGATTCTATTGTGAATGTACAGGAGTTTTTATTTTCAAAAGATCCACTGTGAAAATTATGTGAATGGCATAAAACGTTATTTTTTCATTTAAGTTTCCACTCTTTTCTTATCCAGTATTATTTTGTGTATAATTGCAATTCACTTTCTATTATTTGATGAAAAACACATATTATTCCAGTTATTGTAGCCTCATTCTGAAATGGTAAATAATATTTGTTCACCAGTGAAGGTTCCTTTTTTTAAACTGTCTTAACTTTTCCTAATTATTTCTTCATTCACACTGTCAAAATATTTTTGACTTCCAAGTAGTGATTTCTTGCATTAGTTTAATAATTCTGACAGTGAAAGTATCAAAAATGATTTATATGACTCTTAGCCATAAAACATTTTTGCAAAGTGACCATTGTTTTATTTATTCATTTGTGAGTTTGTATTTTAAGTTCAGTATCTTTTAAAATGTGCACTTTTACACAGCATGATCAATCATCTCTACAACCATGTTGCATAAACAAAATGTATCCTACGTACATGGGGAAAGAGTTTGAACAAGCATCCTCTGACTATAGCAAGAATAGCAGCAGTCCAAAGCAAAACTAATTAAAGTTTGGTCCGTCCTGATAGCTTTATAACTACTTGTATATTACTTGATTGATAATTGTATTTTTTTTTTTTTTTTAATACTTGTTTAGATGCTGGTTTTTTGACTATTGGGTCAGGATAATCATCACTATATCACATGACATGTTCAATGATTACATTCTATGAATTAATTATTTAAAAATGAAAACTACTTTTTATATGAATCTAACTTAAAAATGGACAAAAAGATTAGTAAATTTTGAAATTATTAATTTTTAAAACAATCAATTCAATGAGTTTAAAATTCAACACTATGTTTTTATTAAAGAACAAATTTTTATTAGTTATCATGAAAGATTAAATCAGTATGGTTGTCATATAATTTTATTTTCTAGAACACAAAAAGGAAAAAATATTGCTTCATTTTCATCGTTACAAAATGGTTTTGTTAATTTTGTATTTATTCTACGATAAGAGAGAGATGAATATTTTCTTTGATTTTGATACCATCCAAAGTGTTTTGCAATAACTGAATCTAATATCACAATAAAAGTTATTTCCCTTGAACTTGTTTAATTTTGCCCGCGAATTTAGGTGTTATACCGACATAAAATGATAAAATGGAAATAAGTACCTTTTTTCTTTTATTTCTTATTTTAAGTTAAAAATCTTTGACTCATCAATATAAATAGACAACTGGGAGAAAAATTGTATTTATCTCTTTTCAAAATGGAATCTAATCTCATGCCATGTCTTGTAAATTTTCAACTTTGCTTAACAAACTAGGATTGTGATCTGCTTGTAGGATTTGCCCCTGGGTGCAATAAACAACAATAATCATCACCATCTCCATCGTCAGCCTTATTCAACTCCTTCAACTCTTCATTTACTCAGGTAATATATGGACTACACTTTATCCACTTAGAAATTAGTGATTTGTGTTGTCTTCTGTTTCCTCCCCTTCTTCTAATTTGTTACTTGTCTCTCTCTCTCTTTCTCTCTCTCTCTCTCTCTCTCTGTAATTCAGTCACTATTAGTGTTTTAGACTTCATGTGTTGTTAAACTTGACTAATGTTAGATTTCCACAGAATTATATATGTTGCTATTTTAGTTAAGTAAGGTTCTTTAGAATATTTTGGATTCTGTCTTTTAAATTTACCAAACTATTAAAAGTAAATTGGTAAGACTATTCAACAATTGTTGAGGTTGAGAGGAAATTTTCAATCTGAAATGATAAATTTAATTTTGCATGTTCAGTTTATATGCTGATTGTGAGATAAAAAATAAAATTATATTTGTATGAGAAAAAGATCATGACAAGGAATATCTCCAAATTGTAATCAATTTTTTCCATGTTAGGAGATCTTTTTATTGACTTTTTAATTGCCATTTTAGTTGGTGCTTCTTTTCCCAGTTTACTTGAGTAAAAATGTTTTAATAAAAAAAAAGTAAAAAGCTTAAATGAACAATTAGGTTTTTATTTGATTTTACAAACAAGATTCATTTGAAATTTAAATTGAGTTAATGCATTGTTTCTTTTATCATAATGCTTGACTTAAATTAGATTTTCAGATTTATTTTGCAATTAATTTATATAACAACATTTGTAATTTCTGTTGATGTCCTGTTTAGTACACCAGAAAAAATGAGTAGATAATATGAGAGATAGAAATTCCTTTGAGAAATCTTTATTCCTAATCTCAAAAGAAATTTTGGTGGAAATAAGAAAATGTTGTAAACTTTATAGATTAATTGAAAAAAAAAAATTTTTATTCTGGATGTACATTCCAAATTTTGTTCAGAGAACTAAACTACCTTGTGTTTTTGATGTTGTTACCACAACATTTCAGCTGATTCATTCTCCTACCTTAACCAGGCATATAAAATTATATGCATCTGAATTATTTACATTTTGAACATTTTGGTCTATGAGAACCTAGAATGACACTTTTTTTTTCTTTATCCAAATTATAAACCAAATTTTTTTTTAACTGTAAACAAGATTTGTAGCATGGAAGTTACATTTAAAATAATTTTATATTAAAATCATATTTGCTATGATTGTAATTATATTTTGTTCAAATAAACAATCCTTTTTATATCAATGAATTTACAAAGCTTTTTCTATTCTATCTTTGATCAGTGGCAATAGAAACAGCAGAATTTTAATTCCTCTTTCTACTGATTTGCAAAGAAGGAGTGTATCATTGACACATCTTGAAGATAAAATGGAAAGATATTTCAAGAATAAAACTATTTTGTGTTTATTTTCATAGAAAGCATTTAAAGATTTTTTGCAATTATTTTTTTCAAATATAGATATGTAATATTTTTGGTATGACTTTATTATAACATTTTTATATTGTATACTTTAAAAATTTTCTTACATTCATGCCAAAATATTTTGAATGTATTGTATTGAAGACAGAAACCTTGATCTTGTGATTTTCTTGTTGCTTTAACAAAACTCTACAGATGAACTTGAGATGTAAAGCTGTGTGTTTGAAAATGCATCATTAAAAGTAATTTAAACAATGCTTAGTTTGAGGTAAAAATTTGATATATAAGTTGTTTGAAATTTACATATTGGCTTACATATTTAAGCATTTAAATACATTTTAAGATGATTTTCAAAATCATTTAAATTACTGAATATCTCTGAATGTCTGTATTCATTAAGGTTTCCTTTGTTAAATCCAGGATTTTAATTTTGGAACATTGTATTAAATAGGAGAGATAAATTGTTCAAATAATGTAAAAAAAAAAAAAAAACTGGTGGCTCAAGAAAGGTGGGTGATTAATTTCTCAGTTGCCTTTCTAAGGTTCTAACATTTCTGATCCACTAGAAAGGAGTTGTCAAAAGAAGAGGAATTGGTAGATCAAAGCCTAATCTAACATCAATCATTTCTTTGGTGTTGGTCTTTTCTTCACCATCACTTTCCCTTTCCTGTGTTTAAACACTCTATCCATTGATGACCCCCAAACTGTTCCACATTCTCAAATTGAACAATCAAATAGCCAGGCACTGTCCTACAACATGTCACTTGCCCTTTTGCTTTCAATGAAGTTAAAATAAGCTGTTTAAACAAGTCTAGTTAATTGAAGAAAGAACTTGTAATTCATCATAAATGCAAGCTAGCTATTTCTTTTGACACCTAACCACCCATGTCTCCCTGTTACCTTTTGGCTTGGCATGCATGACAGCTATTTTCTCGTCTTTTCTCCACTCTTCTTTCACATCCATTACCTTCATCCATAACATGGGGTCTTATGAATACATGCTATACTCACATAGACACTGCATTTTTCTCCTTTCTGTAACTTAACAAAAGAAAAAAAATGACTAAAAAGACTCTGTCATTGCCAGTGTGATGTCTGCCTAGTTTTCTAGTCATCATTTCTTGCTATTCACAAATAATTGTCATTTGTTGTCATAAATGCATAAGAGCCTGCTTGAAAGTTTCAATTTTGTTTTTGTTTCCACATTTCTGCTTTTACAAATGGCTCTTTTTTATTTTTATTTCTCTCAAACAGTTCCTTTCGGATTGTGTAACACAAACCTCTCAGCAGATTTCGGCACTAAAAACAACTAGCCATTTTTGCAGCTACAAAAAGATAACAGCCACTTTTGAGCTTATGGTGTTTTGAAGTCGTATGGATCAAAGTGCAAAAATGGTTTGTTGTTTTGTATTATTAACCTTCAGCTCACAAATAAAAGCATTCTCTTATGTAAAAAGACTCATTAACACTATATCAAGCAAGAACATCATGGCTCCTTGTTTTTAAAAAGTTTAAATAGGAGACTTTGATTTTGAATAGTTGTATGTTGTCAAAGTATTTATAATCACTACATATATTGCTGCTGTCACTGCTGCTGTTTTGTATAAATGTGACCCAAATTCTCTTTTTTAAATGTTATTTTTTATTTGCTTACATTGAACCTTGTTTGATTTGAACCAATTTAAAATTTTAGACTTTATATTTATTGCAATCATCATTTTTCTAGAGATTTTTTTCATTGATTCCCAAGTTATTATTGCATCCAACTATTTTATTTTCAATTTTTGTATGGTGAAGTTTTATTTGATTTGATCATTTTTAAGTAGAAATTTGTTGTTCAGCCTTTCAACAAAATTGCTCTTATTTTTTATTTTTAAATAAGGCTTTACATTGAATTTGAACTCTTCACATTGATAGTTTTTACTAAACTTTATATAGTCTGGCACAAGAGTTTCCAGCAACAAATAAACTGTACTTGGTCTACCAGACTTGTTTGTCAACCACTTCTCCAAAGTGAGGTTCACTCTGATTCTTTATATTCAAATAGAGATTTGTGAGATGGAAAACTTAAACGGTCCTCCATTTTTGTTTTCTCTGAAATATTCTTCTGCAGAATGTTTCTCGTCCAAAATATGAACAAATTTTTTATTTTTTTAATTAATGTCATTTTCTTGCTTGCCTCATGTTTGTATATTTTGGTTTTCTGCAGTGTGGACATTCCTCAGCCTTGTATGAAATATGAAGTGTAAAGAAAGAGTTTTTTACACACACAAAGGATAAATGAAAATAGTTTCATTTATAGACAGTCATTTAAGGTTTAATTGGAACATTTTGTGACAGAACCAAATTTAGTTTTTTTTCTTTTCTTTTCTTTACTGACTTCATAAAGTCAGAAATTGTTTTTTGTATAATCTGTGATATTTTTTCTTTTTCCAATAGTTTTCATTTTTTCTGAGTAAATATTTCATTGATATGTTTTGTAATTTAAAATTGTTTTCATGCACCATTATTTTTTCCTTCATAAAATTTGCTTCTATATTGTACTAATATTTGTGATTTTAAAACTCTCTACAAGACACAAATTATCTTTTTTTTTCTTCTTTTTTTTTTTTTTTAAATGAAATATCATATTCTTATAATTACAATCATGGTGTTTAATCTTTCACCAGAGATTTTATTGAATAAAAGTTTATTAAAATGAATTTACTTCTAATAAGAAATATTTGATCTGTTGTTGAAGGAAAAATTGATATTTTTTTTTAAATTTTTACTTCTTCCAGAAAATATGCAAATGCTTGATTTTAAATGATGTCTAAAGATTTGGCATTTTAACAAGTATTTTAATAAATATTTTACTTTAAGATATTTCTATTGTCTTGAGAAAAAAAACACTTATGAGAATGAAATGTTAATTTGTAACATTATTTGTCACAAATAATGATATTAAATAGTCAATAGTTGGATTATTTCATGGTTCAATTTGACATTAAATTGTGGCTGATTATTTAGTTTTTTTCTGAATGAGTGGATAAATAAAATTATATTAAAAAAAATTATTAAACAAAATCTGCTTAATATATCATTTTATTGCAGTACCATTCTTACCACAAAATTAAAACCAAAAAGTTTAAAGTTCTCAATTTTAATGTGTATTTATAGATTATTATCAATATCTTGGTGCTAATGTAGTTATATAATTGTTTATTCTAAAAAGATTTTTGTCTTCATTAAATATATGAATATACTTACTGTAGATAAGTATTTAAGACTCATTTTAACTTGTGTGAACACATTTATTGAAGTGCTTATTATTTTAAAATAAGAAATATTAATTTATTTTTTCTTTCTTTCATAGAAATCAGATAAAAATAATTTTCTTTTTTTTTTTAAACAGTAAGCTATAGTGAAATGAAATAATACAAATAAACATTCCAGAATGAAAATTTATGAATACATCATTTTTCTTATGGTTCTTCCACTGTAACAATTCCTTTTTCACTAAATTACTTCTGTTTTTTTTTTTTTTTTGTTTTTTTACTTTACAGAAATTGCTTAAAATATTTAGGAAAAATATTTTCTTTCTTTTCAACTCTATGAAATTTAATTGTTGCTGAGTTACAAATTATAAAAGGAATAATTCTGCATTTAGTTGAGTTGAAATTCCATAGGCTTTAACTAGTTTCTTGTTTTTTTTATAACACAAGGTTTGGTATTTTGCCTCCAATAAACAAAAACAATGATTTCTTTCCACCAGTAAATGTTCTAAGAGAGCATTGATTTCC